GGGGGGGGGGGGGGGGGGTGCAGATAAAAAATGCAATGGCCCATTATTAATATTGTTATTATGGGAATATCAATTGAGCAGTATCGTGCCCGCATTGGAACACACAATTGTATACGAATGAAAAATTATAAACTCATTGACTTGTACAAAGATATTGCTATAGCAACCCAGTGTGGAAACTTTATACCAGCAGTTAATACATGTAATAACATGTCAACCGACTTTTGTAAACGATATAATGGTCTGTAAGAATATAGATATGTCCATTGTTAGCATAATATATAGGAAATAATCCTACCGGCCTACATTCTATATATTCACCTGGCTGTGTCAGGTGAATATATAGATATATTCTTGGTAACGCTATATTCTTGGTAACGCTATATTCTTGGTAACGCTTACAATTTCTTGTATTATATAGTTTTGCAGTTCTGACTGAGTACAATCTTAATCATTACAAATGAATGGTGTTGCCGCCATGCAGAAGCTGACGAATGAAATAAAACTGTCAACAATTAGATTTTGTCTCCCCATCAGGTGTGAGCAGATTGTTCAGTGGTTTGGCAATAGGGGTAGCCTTGAATGTGCCATTAAAACGATAATTGGGACAAAAAGTGACTTAATATTTCTATTTATTATTCATTGCACTGTGTTCTCGGTTTTTCATTAGCTAAGAGCCTACAAAATTTTTTTGGTATTTGTAGGTGCCTGTGCTATTTCCAGCGGAAACAATAATCTGCAGAGGATATTGGACGACGCCCGAGATATTTCAGCGGTATGTTATTTGAAAATACAAATTGGCTGGAAATTTTCAGTTGAATTTACGAAAAGTTAATCAATTCAATGAATATTATTTTATTTGTTTTCAATTGTTGCTTGTTTTGTTTTCTTTCTGTCACAAAATGAATAATAAAACAATTATTGAATTCGGCTTGCGCAGGATACCAGAATTATTCAGACCTTGGGTCAATGTTATCTGCCGAATTCCTGCTGGATATCCTGCTCAGCCCCATCCAATAATTGCTAAATATATGAAACTGTTAATTAAATTCTACATGTCCAATGATTCATTCAAGTATCATCATTTATATATAATATGATTTTGTCTGATATTCTGTGGCAAGCTTGCCATGGCAACTGGTCATGCCACGCCAATAAACCTGCATCTATTTGACTAATGCAAATTATTAAAAACTTGCATAGCATGATCTGTTGCAATGACTAGCTTCACCACTGACAGTATTATAAATGTACATACAACAGCAATAAGTTATAAGGGGGGGGGGTGAATAGGTTTTCGGATTGTCGGATTCCACCAATCTTATTAATACAGCGGATTGCGGATTTATGTAATATTTTGGCTGAGATTGGGGATTTTGCTTGCAATTTAGTTCGAATTTGCAAGGTGTTTGATATTCAAATTGCACTTTTCCTACATACCGAAAAGGTGTCTTAGGGGCTGTTTACATGATGGAAGGTGGGATGTCATTATTTTGATGTGTTGAAATAAGTCAGTAGGCTAAACAAAAGTTAAGATGCTGGTTAAGAGAATTCAAATATTGTAGAGAAGATCTTGTAGTTCCAGAAGATTGTTATTATGTTTCGTTTACAGTTATTTTTAACTAATTAATCTATCTCAAGAAAATAATGAAAGCCTGGGTACGAGGTTGTTTTGCACTGTGACTTGTTTCAATACATCAAAATAACCCCGGCTCACATCTCGTCATGGCAAAGCGGGATCATATATAAAACAGCCCCTTATTCAGCAAATTACGCATGCTGTCTTTGATCCCTTGGGGGTGAGGCAGCACTTTCCTTGCGATAGTAACTTCTAGTATAGTTCACATTTTATTAGTAATAAAATACATATCTTTTGAAATCGTTATGTTCCATACGTGAAGGGAAACAGGAGTAACAAATTCACGTTGGAAATTCAACCTACTATCTGCCGTCAGCCATTCACCGGCCTGAATCAATTCAATTTCTCCAGAGCTATGCCCACCCTTAACCTGCGAACGGACATGCTCGGGGAACGAGATTGTGATCATGTCCATTTGTATCACGCCAACAACTTCAATCCGGGCTGTTTTTCTCGCGTTTCCTGCAGTGACTTTTTTGTTAGACCTCGCACAAGGATGATGAGTAATAAAACATGAGAATTTCAAGAAATTCTTTAAGACAGATTTCCTGTAATCGTCATTCATATTTCGAAACTTACCTGGTATACCTCCCTCGAAATTTTAATGTTATTCCTTCATCAACCATAAATGAATCGTCAAAAAAGTCAGAAATATTCACCGAAGGAAAAATATTGTCGTTTGAGTGTGAAATTAGACAATAAAAGTGAAAAAGGTAAACGACATGGTTGGCAACACTCTACGTCCTCCTCGACCGTGAGCATAAAAGGAGCTGCCCAGCCCAACTATAGTCAGTGGACGTAGACCGAGTAAAAACAACAACGAATAGGACAAAGAAGAAGAAACAGAAAAAAACAGAAAGAGAACCTTAAAAAACCCAATATATAACATTATAAAATAACGTCCTATCTTGTTGTAACGATTCCGATCTCGCGTATTAAATAAACGAACATATATAACAATTCTTAGGCATGCAACTTCTATCCTTATTTTCTTTTGAGAGCCTTTTCCGTCTTGACTCAGCAATTTCATTTTCCTTTTTTGTTTTGTAATTCCTTTGATGGGACATCAGTCTCTGGCCTTTCATTCACAGACTTTCCTTTTTCATAGTGATTTTGTAACGTTGTTTTACCACTTATTGAATGCAGTTTTGTACTATGTGTTTGTGTTCTGGTGTTTGTTTATATCATCACATCTTACAGAAGTATCTTGGCTAAAATCGTGATGGGTATTGAAGATGGAAATTGTCGAGTGGAATGCATTTATTAGACCTAACCAGGAACTTTAGGTCCCTGGCAGGAATTAAACCTGCGGTTCATATCGCGATATGCGATTACTAGCTATCAATATTTTAGCATGCAAGTGATCTTGGTAAAATGTCGTAATATACATACAATCTTTGACAATATAGATTGGGACAATCTAGTTTTCACATACCATTGGAGAGACAAATAAATATGCATTGTTTTCGTCTTTTACAACTTATACTTGAGAACTGGGGCCATTTCCAAGCTAAATTTCATTCGCAGTATAAGATTTATAGCACAGTTCATAAAGCAGCGAGTAGTCAAACTTCATACCGTTACCATGGATGGAATTCAATGAATTGTTACTAAAATGTAGCACTACAAGCCTTTAAATCTGATTTTAAATATACGCGATGTTTCAGCCGGATTTTAGCTATTTCCTAACACACGCATACGCTGATACATATTTTCCACCCTCCCTCCCCCCACCCGTTTCAATGAAGGCGCCGCGCATCCAGACATCAGATTTTTGTTGGCCCAACATTGAATTGGGGGAACGGGGGGCGCTATTCCTTTCAAATTATATGAAATTACAGCAGCTGTCCCATAGTTTCTGGCTAAGATTGTACATATTTGGAATAGGAGTGCTATAGTGTGGTAATGTGTTTTCAGATAATAGTAGCATATATGTACTGCATATTACAATATAGTGACTTAAAATACATATCAAACGTCATAAAACGTTAATATAGTGACTTAAAATACATATCAAACGTCAATACTTATCAAACGTCATAAATTCTAATTAACAGTCATAAAACTATAATTCAAACACTCATTAATAATTCATAAGCTTATTGGCAAATCATGTCAACCATATTATGTCACGTGCAGTAGCTTTAAACCTGATAAAACACTCCTAATTAGTATTCTTTATATAAAGAATACTAATCAGGCACTATCTATTGTTGTCGTGTCCTCAGATATACCGTCTAATAAGGCGGTATATCTATTGAATTTGTATAGTCGTGTTTGAAGCCGTTTAATAAACTCGCAGGTCGTGTTTTATTAGGTCTAAAGTCACTCGCGCTGCGCGCTCGTGTCTTTAAACCTAATAAAACACTCCTGCTCGTTTATTAAACAGTACTTCAAACACTCATTAATAATTCATAAGCTTATTGGCAAATCATGTCAACCATAGTATGTCACGTGCAGTGGCTTTAAACCTGATAAAACACTCCTAATTAGTATTCTTATATATAGAATATTAATAATGCGTATCTATTGTAGTCGTGTCCTCATTAGTATTCTTTATATAAAGAATACTAATAAGACAGTATATATATTGGATTTGTAGTCGTGTTTGAAGCCGTTTAATAAACTCGCAGGTCGTGTTTTATAATATAAAATTGGATGTAAATTTGGATAAACATGCACTCGTGAGTTTTTCAAAGACCTCAAATAGCACTCGTCCGTCGGACTCGTGCTATTTTGAGGTCTTTGAAAAACTCACTCGTGCATGTTATGTCCAAATTGGACACGAAACCATGCTATTACCTATACAGTTCATTGACTCATTCTTTAATTACTGACCTTGATTAAATTTGCTTGTCTGTAACCAGCGTCTTCGTAATCAAAACTAAAAGAAAAAAATGATTGTACTGTTGATGTATATATTATATAGATTTTCTCACAAGCATGAGTCGTAAGCATAAGCGCATCCTTAAACTAGGAATCCCATGTAAATTTATTAATTAAATACAAAATTTTTAGGTATTTTCTATATAGTTTTGTAAAATTCATGAATAATTAATAAGGCCACAAACAAATCAAGATGCGGTATTTAGGTCACATGTGCACACTTGCAAAAAAAAAGTTGCAAAAAAGCTGCGGGAATGCGGGCAATACCCGCGAGGAAGGTTTACCATAGGCGAGGTCAGTGAGGAAGGTTTAGTGGTCAACAGTCGCTAACACCGAAAAAGTAAAACAAATAAAACATAGTTGAATGGGCAGTTGAGGCTGACAAGTTGTGGTGGTACTATTGTGATATAGTACCTATAGCATATGACTATGACATTGGAGAATACTGAGAACACAATAACTGAAAATATTCTGTAAAATTAAAATGTATATGTGTCAAGCATCAGAGGCGCCTTAAACCATTGCACCGCAAATAACAGGAGGCTATCACTAAGAGCTATTCATCATGGTTACAATAAGAAATTCAGCTTGAACATTATTATATTATTCAGAGATTATTTGATTACATCATTCCAATGTTTTTGGAGAACAATTAATAGTTATAAAATTAAATGAACCATCATTGCTGTAGAAACTAAACGTTGTAATAATTATATAAATATGGCCAAGGTATGGAAGCGGAGGAAGAAATTTTAGCATGTGTGATGTGAGTCTGACGAAAATAATACAGCTTGGTTACTGAGGTGTGTTACTTGGTTACTGAGGTGTCTGAACACTCTCAAATGCCTTTCAAAACCAAAAACAAAAGTACAGAAACATCAAATACCACCTCTGGAATGTTGTTGCCATGGTTTTACTGCTGACCTCTATATAATATGTGTACAGGCATAAAATCAACAACTTCAGTTGATATCGACAGGAAGGTTGTGTTGCCCACTATGAACAAGTTGTCAACAATATTGTTGCAAGTTTTGTTGACAACTTGTTCATAGTGGGCGGCACAACCTTGTTCACGCCTGTCAATATCAATTTTTCGGCGTGTACTGCATGTTGTGCTTTTTATTACAGATTCAGAAACCATCACATTTTAATGATTATCTTGACTCTACGACAGTATTTTTATATTCTTTTATATTCAATATATCATATAGGATGTAGATGTGGTAGGTATGACTGTCCAATTTGTCCAAAGTATACATCTATTACGGCAAATTATATATTAGAATCGTATTTGTAACAAATACAGAAGAGTCTTTGACTTATCTTTGAGTAGGCTACTGTCGGATCATTTTACTGCAGGTTTGATAACAGTTACAGGGAGGTAAACTTCGACATATTTCTTGAGCATCAAGTTTGGAAAATAATAAAAAGGAATTTTGGAAAATAATAACAGTCCGAGTAGCATTGCTTACAAGCAAGATAGTTCCGAAATATTTCAGAAAAATTTCAAGCGATATTTCAGAAATCAAAAGATCTTTCTAGCTTCTATTTCGTTACGCATCTCAGTATTAAATAAATCCTTTAGGATAGAATCAAAAGCTAGAAATATATTTTCTTGTAACGTTTGCGACGACGTGTGATTTCTTCGACGAGCCGTATTAATTTGTGTGTTGAAATCTGATCTAACTTTGCTCACCTACATTCTGCGCACATTGAAATTTGATATTCCCTATTGTGTAACTTGATAGTATTCATGACAAATAAAATATACAATCTTGTAAATATTTTCTGCATGTTTTCTGCGTTATTTTTTCGATCACTCCTTGCTCAATGACAGAACGTACTTAGTTACCCACCCTAATTGAAATTTTTTGTTATCATCTCCCAGATTCTGGGAGACTGGAGACACGTGACCAGCCGATAGCAGGGTCTTTCCCAGCAGGTTTACGATTCCACTCGTGTAACGTTATGTAGCGGTTTTTGAGTTGTTTTCACACGAGTGCATACCAAACCGGGCAAGCAGAAAATTCTACTTGACCGCGGCTGGGATTCGAACCCGCGACCTTCGCATTTCTAGAACGATGCTCTACCGTCTTGTTAAGTTATGATGTTAGTTGCATTTCGGAGGTTAGTCCTTCAATGCGTAAAGCCAGCTACTCGTCTGAAAACAACTCAAAAACCGCTACATAACGTTACACGAGTGGAATCGTAAACGTGGGAAACCACAACTTTCACATACAACATTGCCAGACTAATAGCTGGCTTTACGCATTGAAGGAATAACCTCCGAAATGCAACTAACATCATAACTTAACAAGTCGATCTCAGCTTGACCTTGTGCTCAGACTGTAGAGTATCGTTCTAGAAATGCGAAGGTCGCGGGTTCGAATCCCAGCCGCGGTCAAGCAGAATTTTCTGCTTGCCCGGTTTGGTATACACTCGTCTGAAAACAACTGATTTTTTATTGTGTTTCACCAAACACATCCCATACTTCACAGCAATATGTAAAGTATGGGCGAACAATAGAATTATACACAGAGACAAGTGTATCTTTCTCAACAAATTCTTTTATTTGACGAAGAGCTGATATCCCGGATGTTATTTTCTTGCAAATTGTTTCAGTATTATATTTGTGATGTTACTCTGAGTGTGTATCCACACCGGGCGAGCTTGAAAAATATGCCTGGCCACGGTGGGATTCGAACCTACGACCTTTGGAATACTAGCCCAATGCTCTTCCAACTGAGCTACGCGGTCAGGACGGTTCGAGTAAGTGATATTTCGGAACAGAATCTAGTTCCTTCGATACCAGTGTAATAGTTCCTTCGATACCAGTGTAATAGTTCCTTCGATACAGTGTAATAGTTCCTTCGATACCAGTGGGCTAGTATTCCAAAGGTCGTAGGTTCGAATCCCACCGTGGCCGGGCATATTTTTCAAGCTCGCCCGGTGTGCATACACACTCAGAGTAACATCACAAATATCATATTCACCTGAGTACACAACACCAACACAGAAAAAATCATATTACAAGATTACACTGGTATCGAAGGAACTAGATTCTGTTCCGAAATATCACTTACTCGAACCGTTCTGACCCCTAGCTCAGTTGGAAGAGCATTGGGCTAGTATTCAAAAGGTCGTAGGTTCGAATCCCACCGTGGCCGGGCATATTTTCAAGCTCGCCCGGTGTGGATACACACTCAGAGTAACATCACAAATATCATATTCACCTGAGTACACAACACCAACACAGAAAAAATCATATTACAAAATTACACTGGTATCGAAGGAACTAGATTCTGTTCCGAAATATCACTTACTCGAACCGTCC